ACTCAAATAAATAGCTTACCAATTTTATCCAACTCCCTAACTCATCTTGATTGTTCTAATACTCCAAATCTCTGAAATATCAAAAATGTATATCACTGGTTAGAGGGATTACCTTGCCTAGTAATCCAAAAAACAAATTTTTACTAAATATGTATATTGATGAATATGTATTTCGAAGCCTTCTCATGATTTAACAGGAGAATATTTTTTTAAAGAAAATATATTAAGAAATTTATTTAAAATATTATATTATTTATGCTAATAAAACTAATCATAAATTTTCCTACTGATTAGTTCTATTGATAGTTGAATTTTTGTTTCTTTAAATATTTTCTAATCTAAATCTAATATACTTTTCTTCATCAATTAGAGCTAAATTATTTGCCATCCTTTTATCTTCAATTATAATCTTCACTAACTGTATGTATACTTAAATAACCAATCAGTCATTTAAGAATTTGATCAATCAATATATCACTGACAGCTATTTTTATTATCAGATATAGCTAATTATATAGTATGAGCCTGATTAATCGAGAAAAAAAAAGAAATATAATTTTTTTTTCTTCAGATAATTATAAAGGTAATATCTTCAAGTCACATGATTATATGATCTTATGCTCTTTTTCTTTCATTTAAGTTACTCTTTTGGGTTTATTCACTTATTAGGTAATTTATTTTTTTTTAAAAAAAAAGAAATTTGTAATATTTTTTTATAATCTTTAGTAAGATTATTTTAATATATTATTATAATAATTATTCTAATTATTATTATTATTATTATTATTATTATTATCAAACTTTAATTTTCTTTTAAATGATTTTTTAAGCGATTTTTTTTAACATCAAATAAATGCATTGGTAAGGATTTTTTTATTCATAAATTATTTTACTTTCAGACTGGATCCATGAAGACTTTTTATTTTATTTTTTTTAGATGATTTCTTTATAGTTAGGTCACTATAAAATTTCTTTGACTTCGGACCATATAAGTTTTTATTCAGGTTTAAAATAGAAAAAAATTAATTATATCATAAATTGTAGGAGAATCTCTTGTTTGAAGAGAACTCTTGAAATCATTGAGTAATGTACAATAAGCTTAAGTTATTTCATAGTTAAATGATGAAATGACTTTGTATTACTCAATTGATTTATTTAGCTATTAAAGTATTATTTGCTAATATATTCTACTATAAAGTAAATTTGTAAATAATTAAATAATTATCATATAAAATTTTTTTATTATATGATTTTAAATAATATCTTTTAATATTACTAGACCTTCTTTAAAAAATTAAAATAGATAAATGAGAAAATAAAGGGAAATTTGTTGTTTAAAAAGAAAAGAAAGTTCAAATTATATATTTTAAATCTGCATTTGAAAGGAATGTTAAACATTATGCTAAATAATAAGAATGCTGCTAAAAATAATTTAAAGAAAAAAAGGAAAGGTTATACTTTAACGCTTTATGATTAAAATATAAAATAGCTATTTTACTTTAAAAATAAAAGAAAACCTTAATTCTACATTTAAATTGTCTGTATTTTGCAACGTTGATGTATGCAATTATGGTCACAATATTGTTACCGATATTTAGGACATAATAATCCAATTATGTGAAAGTTAATTTGTCTTTAAAGATACTTAAAAGGTTAAGAAGAAGAATAGGAGTTATTTGACATTGAGTTTTTTTAAAGATTTAGGTCTGATAAATGTTAAGGAATCAGGTAAATTTGGTAGGAAAGTTATTTTAGTATTAGAACAATCAAGATAAGTTAGGGAGTTGGGTAAAGTTGGTAGGGTAATTAATGTAGTATAAGAGCACTCAAGTCTCATTAAACAGTTAGATAAAGTTTGTAAGATAGCTATTGGAGTATTAGAACAATCAAGATGAGTTAGGGAGTTGGATAAAATTGGTAAGCTATTTATTTGAGTATTAGAACAATTGAGTTCCATCAAAGAATTGGGTAAAGTTGGTAGAATATTTATTTTAGTATTAGAACAATGAAGTTCCATTAAGGAATTGGGTAAAGTTGGTAATCTAGTTATTTTAGTATAAGAGCAAGAAAGTTCCTTTAAGGAGTTTGGTAAAGTTGGTAAGCAAGTTATATTAGTCCTATAACACTTAAGTACCTTTAAGGAGTTTTGTAAAGTTGGTATTATTGTTATTGGAGTATCAGAGCAATCAAGTAACGTTAAGGAGTTGGGTAAAGTTGGTAAGCTATTTATTTTAGTGCCAAAACACCTGAGTATTGTTAAGGAGTTGGGTAAAGTTGGTAAGCTATTTATTTTAGTCTTCCAACAACTGAGTTTCGTTAATGAATCGGGTAAATTTGGTAAACTAGTTATCTTAGTATTAGAACAGCAGAGTGTCGTTAAGGAGTTGGGTAAAGTTGGTAGGATAGTAATTGGAGTATTAGAGCAATCAAGTTTCGTTAATGAATCGGGTAAATTTGGTATACTAGTTATTTTAGTATTAGAACACCAGAGTGTCGTTAAGGAGTTTGGTAAAGTTGGTAGGATAGTAATTGGAGTATTATCGCAACGGAGTATTGTTAAGGAGTTAGGCAAAGTTGGTAAACTTGTTATTCGAATACCAGAGAATTGTATTTCTTTTAATTTTGGATATCTTTGTAATCCACCCGGAACGTTTAATATATCATCCTTATTTTTATTAGTAATAATTAATCTGATGATATCATCATTATAAATATTATCTAATGCTTGAGTTTTGATCTTTACTTCTAAATTACTAATTATTTCTTGCTTGGTTCTGACTTCTTCGTCTCGCTCTTTAATTGTTTTTTCTAGCATATTAATAGTTTCTTTCTTAGTGTTAGCTTCTTTTTCTTGTGTTTTAATCATTTCTTTAAAATATTTACATCGAAAGCATACGTTTGATAATTCCTCACTTTTTGTTGTTAAATCAAGTTTATTTTGAGAAAAAGTATTGACCGAGCCTAAATTGTAAAAAGAATGAAAGAAGTTTATCGTATTGT